GAAATTCAAGGATCATCAAAAGAAAATGGGACTTGATTCCACTATATAATGGTATATACAATTTTGTATGAAATTTTTATTTATTGTGATATTTTCTCATACCCATGCGCATCTTAATTTATTTGAGAAAATACATTTATATCGGGACAAGAATAAGACATATGTCATTTCATTAAATATTGTTATCACATAAGGAATAATTCTTGATGGACTAAATATATTGTGATACATGGAAGATAATACTCATTATTATCATTGCCATGGTTTATATATTTATTTTTTTAAGAAGGACAATCGATGGGATTGAGTTGAAACATAACATAATATTTTCAGTTTTAACATTTACTAAGTTTCAATTCAACATTCATGGAATTCAATTTCACCATCGATTGGAGGGTAACTGTAGCCATGGCCTAATAGGGACTTGGCTCTTTATAAAGGGGTTTGTTTGCTAAACTCAGACACCACCGAAAATACACGATATACACCATCAATTTGAGAGTGTTGAGAGTTTAGAAGTGCCAATAACTGTAAGGTATGACCTCGATCCTTGAGTTTTCGTTCTTTTTCAATCCGATTTTTCCACATAATTGTTTTGGATCAATTTTCAGTCTAACACTAAATCTTCTTTCTTTTTCGATCCGACTTTTCCACTTAATTGTTTTGGATCAATTTTCAATCTAACACCAAATCATCTGTTGTATCAGCTATCTAATTCTTGTTACTTGCTAAATATATCTTTGGTATAACACATCCGAGTAAGCAGTGGTCAATAATTCTTGTACTTGCTATATATATGATTTTCAATTAAACAATCAGTTTTTTAAAGGTGTTAACTATTGACTGATGGTTGGTGGTTGTAATTCTCTTTATTCTTATTTTTGTTTCCCATTCTTACCCCTTCACGATTTGAGGGGCGGAAAATATCAAATTAATAAAGGAAATTTCTCAATATTAAAAAACAATAGTCAAAAGTCAATCTTTTTCATATTTCAATTTGGTTAGTTTCATCGACCATTCTTTTACTTTAATGACATTTCAATCAATTGGGTCACTAATCCAGCTACAAGTGATATACTATGCAATCCAC